ATATATATATATATATATATCGGATCAAAATAATTAGCTATTTTAAGATTATTTCATTAAATTAGAATAGTTTTACAGAGTGACATGTTTGTTTATCAGTTCTATCTGGAGATCTGTACGTTCAGAGCTGAACATTTACTTCAGACCAAATAAATAGACTGAATGCACAGCAAATATTGCATAAAGCACAGAAACTACAATTAGCACCACTACTTTTCATTTTGTCCTTTTAAATCTCCTGTGAGCAAAGATTCAAATCACCTCAGATGGATCTAACGTCCTAACATTAAACAGTAAGAGGCTGATATAGCACAGGGTTTCAGTTTGGAAAAACTAAAAAATATTTGATTTTTAAGAAAATCAGTGTTCACAAAAATTCCACCAGGTTTTAAATTACAAACATATCTTTCTTTATTAACTTTTACAGCTTGAGTGATGACACGTGATACTTACTGTATATGGAGAGAAATGTTTAAATCCAGGATGATTTCTTAAACTGTATTAACATAAAAACGTCCTGTGCTTCTTTTTATCCATTGTTCTGTAACACTGTGTAATATAGTTTCTTCAGGCTCTCATGATTTGAACTTGTTAAGACTTTTTCTAATGAATCCTTTTTTCTAAATTTGTGGCATGTGAGTTATTGTTCAGATGCTTTTTATTTTCACTGACAAATAACAGAAATTTAGCTTTTTGTGTAGCAAATCCAACGTGCTAAGAAACCAGTCAACCTTAACTGTTCCTCTTTTTGTCCTCTTCATTTCTGTCTTTTGTTAATTACAATAACTGGCCTGTAGAAGCTGCAGACAGCTACAAGCTCATATCTCCTCTGAAAAAGCAGCTCATTGATATAATAAACCTCTTCTCATACCAGTTACATGCATAGTTTAACAGTAAACCATATGAAATCCTCATTAAAAAACAAATCATTGGTTTCTAAGACACAGTTCAAGCTTTTTCACTGTCCTCGTTGCAAACTTCACCTTCCCTCGTTTCTTCCGGTAGGCGGTGTACTGATTGGACTTGAGTTTGGAGTAATAGTCTGAGAACTTGTTGAAGAGGATGGAGATCGGCAGGCCATTAAGGATGATTCCAAAAGCGATGCAAACGAAGGCGAACACTCGACCCAGTATGGTCTCTGGGTACACGTCCCCATAGCCCACAGTGGAGATGCTCACCTGCAGGAGAGAGATCAGTCAGAGCTGATGGGAGAGGAAACCAAAAACAGGAAACACTGAAAATACACATTATCTGGTTAGAACCAAAACTGCATTCAATGTGACGTCTAGTAAAAAATAAAAAATAAAGAATGAGCTTCATTGGGCTGCTGATCACTCCTGTGTTTAAATGATGTGAAACAGTATCAACTTGTAGAATTCAACAAAGTGACTCCAGTTGACAGAAAAGATCTATCTATCCGTTTTCATGCATTTACTAGAAGACATGTTTTTATATTATATAAAGTCTTTACTTCATTCAGATTGTGTCTTTCTGGACTTACATTTGATTAAAAAAAGCCAACATGCCTCTGTTAAAATAACGTTTTTTATCAAAAATGAATCAAAACACTAAACAGAAACTTGTCAGGGAGACTTCCATAAAAAATTTTAAAAAAATTATATAT